TTCTGATGATCAAGACGTTGTGGAGTTTCTACCAAAATTTTCCCAAGAGAAATGGAAAAACGGTGGTGTTGCATGTGATGAGTTGTTAATGGAACTCCACAAGATTGTTCCCAAGTTTCATTCATAAGCCTTTCAGTAGTACTGAAGCAGAAGTGCTGAAGGCAATTTGTCTGTTTCCTGAATTCGGTAATATGCATGGCAATGAACGATGCATATTTGTAAAGAGACGGGATGGACAAACAAATATTTAGCATGTCAACGTAAATTTTCAATTTGGAAGCAGCTAAGATCTAATTGCATTGGATCTTCTCGTAGAGGTGATAAAGAACTGAATGGAATAGGGAAAAGGGATTTATTTATGCAGAATCAAATTTATTGGGAATAAGATAGTTGACTGCTGTTCTAAGTGGGGCATTGAGTTGAATTGTGAAAATGACGAAAGAGTAACAGCAATAGCAATCAAAATCTTCAAAGGTCCCCTCGCAAGAACTCTGGACAATCCTTACCTATTTGATGATCCAAGCTCCAGAGTAATCGCTCTTTCTCTCTGAATGTGTGTGCGTGCACGTGTAAATGCACTTATTAACTGCACTGATAATGTGTATGAATAAGTTCCTCTTCCTATCAGAATTTACTTTTCTGGTCAGCGTGAATTTATTCTCTAGTTCTGCTAATGCAGTCCAGATGGAAACCTGCTTTATAGATTTAATGAGACCCCCTCGTGCTTTATTTCCGGAGTGCAAGTTTAAGATCTCCCCTTAAAAAACTGTTCTACCAGTTAATGCTTGCTTGATAAAGATTTTCAACGTTTTAACATGGTACTCAACATGTCTAACGAAGGTAGGGTACTCCCCCAATTCGAGTGACACATCGATAGAAACAGAGACTGAATACAGCTCTGTCAAAAGGCGCAGATGAAGGTAGAGCATACCGAACAGACCCCAAAAGGGAAGGAGAAAATCCCCAGGCAAGAATTAGGCTCGATGAGGCGCACTCTTCCCCAAATTCTGATTAAGTGACCCCCTAAACATTATACTGTACAAAAGTGGCCCTCTAAAGTCTGAACGTGGTATTGTACACAAGTTTGCATTTAGACGTGCCATTTTTATGCTTTTGTCACTGTTTTCAGCACAATTCATGTTTAGTTAAGGTTATAGAAGCTGAACTTGCTCATACAAGTGATTTAACCCTTAAATTAGAACTAAATTTCTTGTGTTGGTACCTAATAGTGGGTTTTGAAGCTTGTCTGATTCTAAAAGGTGAAACAACAAACTATATTGTTTCTACATATTCAAGATTGGTTGAATGATTTTTTATTTTTTTCTTCATCTCGGTTCATTTCTAGATCTACTTCAATAATCATTGCAATTACATCAACAAGACGTGTGATGTTTTGTGATTATCCCTTCCAACTTTGAGGAGTTATTCAATTAGTTAGGTCTTGAGTTTGCTCCTCAGTGGTCACCGATTCGAGTCCCTTTAAGGTCACCGACATGAGTATCGGTCGTAAATTTCAGGGCTCCATTAGATTAGTCGAGGTGCGCGCAAGTTGGTCCGAACATTCACGGTTATCAAAAAAAAAATTATCCCTTCCGATTCACCATTGTTATAATGAGATCGTCTCATTTTTATGGATAAGGGAAAACAATTCGTATGTAAAAAAAATATTTATGAACTTTGGAAAGTTGTTCTTTTTTCCTTTTTTGGGAAGTTCCACTATTATAGTAACGAAGAATTTTTCATCTATAGTCAATAATGTTTTTGGAAGAGAATGTACAATTCGCAAGTGTCTTTCTTTTTCGATCTAAATACATCACATTTTTTAACATCGACACACAGGTTTTTATGGTCTAAGTACATTTCATTTAATTAGCTTGTACATTTTCTAATATTGATGAAATTAACTTTCCACGAACATAAAAGACTTTTTACATTAAAAAAAAAAAAAATTCAATCCTTGCATGAATATGGAATTTATCTTCTCAATTTGTCAAGTGCCAACCAACACAAGGCAGTAATTTGTTCCCGGGAAATCCTCTGAACCCTTGTTAATTTTCCAAAATCCTAGGATTCTTTCAACCCATTTTTTGCATTAACCAAATTTTCAAAAATGTAAAATTCTACTCTCCTAAACCTCTCAACAAATGCATGACTTCCAAAATGCTTCTCTCTCTCTGCAAGCCATGGATTTCTCTTTCTAGTCTCTAATCAACCTCTCTCTTTTCAACCTCTTAAAACCCCAAATTATTTTCATGATCTTCGGCCCTCGAGCTCAGGGCCACCCTCCTACTACACATTCATATCGTTATCTGTCTCTTGTCTTTTGATCTCTCGTTCAATGGGAAATTGTTGCTCCCAAGACAACACAACAAATGTTACAGATGACACGGGGGGGAAAGTAGAATTTATTGCCAAACCGGTAGAGAATCCTGGTTCTTCCATGCATAACTCCACTGCGCCACATAAAACTCCAACTCATTCAGCCTCTTGCAAACCTTCGCAACCAACCCCAATGGGGCCGGTTTTAGGCCGGCCAATGGAGGACGTCCGCTCTACTTACACCATTGGAAAGGAGCTCGGGAGAGGACAATTCGGCGTCACACATCTATGCACTCACAAACAAACAGGCGAACAATATGCCTGCAAAATAATCGCTAAAAGGAAACTCGTGAACAAGGAAGACGTCGAGGACGTTCAACGGGAAGTCCAAATCATGTATCATTTGGCAGAACAGCCTAATATTGTGCAACTCATGGGGGCTTATGAGGACAAACATTCTGTGCATTTGGTGATGGAATTGTGTGCAGGAGGAGAGCTTTTCGACAGGATAATTGCAAAGGGGCATTACACAGAACGTGCTGCTGCATCTTTGCTTAGAACAATTGTACAAATTGTTCATACATGTCATTCAATGGGGGTTATTCATAGGGATTTGAAGCCAGAGAATTTCCTTCTGTTGAATAAAGATGAAAATGCACCATTAAAGGCTACAGATTTTGGGCTCTCTGTGTTCTATAAAGAAGGTTACAATTTGCAGATTCATTTAAACTTTTCTTGATTTTGCATGGCATTTTTATGTATATACGTAAAAAGTGCATCATTCAATTTCCCGTGGAGATGAACTTTTATATGAGGAAGTTCAACATCGTATCCACAACATAGGTCCTAAATTTCACATCTCTATTGCCACCTTATTGTAAAAATCGCCTATTTCTTTGTTTTCTCCTTAAATATTCTATCAAGAAATCATTGATGTTTACATGAACTTGTGTATATATGTACATTTATTGCAGGAGAAGTATTTAAAGATATTGTGGGAAGTGCATATTATATTGCTCCTGAAGTGTTGAAAAGAAAATATGGACCAGAAGTTGATATTTGGAGCATTGGGGTAATGTTGTACATTCTACTATGTGGAGTCCCTCCTTTCTGGGCAGGTATTTCATCTCTCCCATATTATGATGTTGTTCAAGTAGAAAAAAATGAAATAACAGAAGAAATTGTAATGCAGAATCAGAGAATGGAATATTCAATGCAATTTTACGTGGACAAGTCGATTTTACCAGTGACCCCTGGCCTTCGATATCGAATGGGGCAAAGGATCTGGTCAGGAAGATGTTGAATTCAGACCCCAAGCAAAGGCTTACAGCTTATCAAGTTCTAGGTAATATGAATTTAGTCATGTTATTGCCAGACTTTCACAATGAGAAAGATTGTAGAAAATATAAGTGGTCGAGCGGTTGGGTTATTTGGCTTTTACTTTTATTTCAATCAAGTCACTTCATCCAATTCTTTTAACTTTTTATGCGAAAAATTGACAATGTTGACACAACAAAAAAATCTAGTAAGGACATATATTATCCAGCGCCATGTCAGGGTTTCCATTTGTTAAAGAGTGAAAGTCTTCGATAGAGAAATTTGAACATAAAAAAGTAACAAATTTAATGACTAAATTATGAAGATGAAGTTCAATAACCCACTTGAAATAGAGGTTTCAGCTCGAAGACCCCAGATATTTTTACCCGAAATTATGGTTTCTTCCGTCCAAATTTTATGCTGCATCAAAATGTTCTGATTCAGAAAAATTTCCAAGGAAAAAAAAAAAAAGGCAATACTAAGCTCAGTTTAGATAACTGATTATACCAGAACCACATCACAAAATAAAGTCTCTCATTTACTGTATCATGCTTTTCAGATCATCCATGGATCAAAGAGGATGGAGAAGCACCTGACACACCACTGGACACTGCTGTTCTTGACAGGCTCAAACAGTTCAGAGCTATGAACAAATTCAAAAAGGCCGCACTTAGGGTAATTATATTTTCACAAATTTTTCCTTCCATTTCCTTAGCATAAACTCAGAGAAATCCTCTATTTCATATATCAAAAAAATGAATGATCCACCAAGTTCGGATTGTTCTCTGATAATGGATAGGCAGGCCTATATTTCTTTGTTTAAATAGGACTCCTGACTCCTTGCGGGCATTTTACACACAGTGTTATTTTATAATTGCAACGCGTACATAAAATTCCCTAATGGTAGGTTTGATTGGCCACACACAAGAAGATCAAGGAAGAAAAGGAAGTTGTATTGTTTTGTACAGTGTTGTTAAGTATTGTGTAGGGAATAAGAGCATAACAGTGTGTTGTTCTTGGACCGAGTAGGTTATTGCTGGCTGCCTGTCTGAGGAAGAAATAATGGGATTGAAAGAAATGTTTAAAGGAATGGATACTGATAACAGTGGTACAATAACTCTTGAAGAGCTAAAACAAGGACTGGGAAAGCAAGGGACAAAGTTATCAGAATATGAAGTAAAACAGTTAATGGAGGCTGTAAGTTCCTAAAACTGAATAGCATAAACACTGATTCTGGAAGTCGTGGGATTTACATGTCATTGTAATACTAATTTACTATCTACATGAAAAATTAGGCCGATGCTGATGGCAATGGGACGATTGATTATGAAGAATTCATTACAGCAACAATGCATATGAACAGAATGGGCAGAGAAGAGCATCTTTACACTGCCTTCCATTACTTCGATAAAGATAACAGCGGGTAATTATATAAGGATGATAATGATGATGATATGTAGATATCTATACTTTGGAGCATTTGTAAATGCTGAGAGTGCTAATGATTTTTTTTATGATCAGTTATATTACAATAGAAGAACTCGAGCAAGCTCTTCGAGAGTTTGGCATGAATGATGGGAAGGACATAAAGGAAATCATTTCAGAAGTTGACGCTGATAATGTAAGCACCGTATCTCAATATCATGGGCATGATGTCATTATTAACAAGAAACTAGCGTTGCTCAGTCCCTCCTAATAAATGGGATGACTGCACAATCCTAACACAAATTCAATTATTATATTGTTTCTGAGTATTTATTCATTTTTTCTTAAATTTTCTATAATCAACTTGGCAATTCTAAAGGAATTGACACTTGATGGATCTAGACAGTTCGAAAGTAACGCATACCAAATGCATTTTTTATGTTTAGTTTTAATGTTATTCTTAGACTAAGGAAAATTTTCAAATACATGCAGGATGGCCGAATTAACTATGATGAGTTTGCAGCCATGATGAACAAAGGTAATCCAGATGCGTTAACAAACCCCAGAAAACGACGAGAAGTTTCACTCCCTAAATTTGATTAAGTTCAACAAGGGAGATCTATAAATTCATCATACACCTCAATTTCTTCATCAGATTTCGGAATACAAATTTCATCATGGGTTTTGTAAATCATGAACACTAATGTACATGTTGTAAGATGCTAAAATCTGGAAGAAATACTGGTGAGGCTTCTTTCAAGAGATTAATAGTAATTGATGTCTATGTGATACTAGGGGTGCTAGATTGATTGGATGTACGAATATTTGTACTAATGAGATAGAAACTACTACTTTATCTCTATTGATGTAGCATCCAAAATGTTACACATGAACAGACATTGATTCTTCTGGTATACGCATTTACTTCTCTAGCTATCTGTTTCTCTACTTCTACTGGGGGGAAAGTAATGGACATAAAAAAATTTCGTCGTTGCAAAACAATATGAAGGCAACCAATTATCATTTTCACACATAATTAAGCCCGTCTCATAGCCTTATCAACCATAAATATTTGTGTATTGCACTTGAAGAAGGGGTTCCTACCTCGTCAATTTAGGCAACACGTCTTTTTCTGATTACAGCTTGAAGTGGCACAGCTTCTTGCTGTACATGTCCAAGTATCTCGTCCATATTTAGCTCACAGGGTTACTGCAAATCAAATGAGAGAACCAGAATGCCGAAAATATACTCCACTAAGGATGGTTGCAATTTTAGCTTAACCAGAAATCTTTGTTCCACGAGGCCCCCAAAAACAAGTAGCTTGAAATTTTCTTGCATGTCAATGTTGCATTAACATGCTTTCAAAGCAAAACCTCACGTAGAAGCCAACATTTCATATCAAACCTCCACTAACATGTTGTCCTAGCCCGTTCGGGCATCAACTAAAAAGGTAAAGGGTCAAGGGTTGAATCTTTATTAAAAAAATTACAAATTTTTTAGGTCAAACGGTTGGTTTTGAGTTGAACCAACCCGATCTTGGTGTGAACATTGATAATTACATGTTTAATAAAGCATATAAGTACTATATAATATTAAATATACAAGTACTATTTACTTGTCAAAAAAATATGCGAGTAGTATCTAATGTTATAGCATAACTAACGTATTGCAAATCATATATTCAGGTATGTGTACACTGGTTTGTACATAATCTAAAATGTATTAGTTTAGCACATCTGAGGAAGAAATATATTACAATAATGTACCATACAATTCTATCAACTAAAGTTGTGCTTTAACTCAAAACCTTAGCTTATGCCTTATTCCATCTTAACAAACATGAAAAAATGCATTTCTTTACATAGTTTAAGTATGTAAAATTCTGATTAAAGTTTAACAATTTAATCTGATCTTCAACTCGTCGTTTTAAACCGTTTTACTGGAGCTCGTAGGGAGGATAAGTATTCAGCATCTGCTTTGTCGATCCCATCAAAAAGATAACTAAAAGGTTGCATTTTAATGTACTTTCCCGAACCTGGAACAACCTTAAGTTCATCGTTTTCCCAGACAATTCTTCCTCCAGCAATGGTTACTTCAACTTTTCCCTACGAAAACAAAGAAAATAATTGTTTAAAACCTAAGGTTTCATAATTGAAATTTTTATAGATAGAAAAAAACATGCTTCTAGAATTTTAGATAAGTAAGTTTTAAATTGAGTAATTTTTTTATTAGACAATATTGAAGATAAGTTAGTCACCTATTTTGACAAAAAGTCAAGACTTACTTCAGGAACTTTTGTTTTACTTAGAAGTAAGAAAATATAATTTATTCAAACATGTTCGATGCCATCTTTTTGTGCTGAGGCAAACTATGTGATTCAACTTCTACTATTCATCTCATCTTTGCTTTAAACTTGTACTAAACTTTTTGCTAAATTATGTGGCTGCCTACACGTTATAATGCCTTCTAATGAAGTTGGCTTTTTGTCTTTTAGTTTGATGCAATCTCTTTGTACATGTTCATGTGCCAAGTTAAAAATACTCTTTTGTAAAATGGTTCAAACATGTTTGGCAAAGAAGTTACTTAAAACTAATTTTTAAGCTCAGCCACAAAAGACATGGTCATCTTTTTTCGTGTTGTGACAATTTATCATAGTACTCGGTTGATACAGCTTGTTTCTTCGTGTTGCATCTTAAACATGCACGATACTTATTAGTTCACTACAAATGGGGAGGATAAATACCTTTCCTCTTCGTCCCTCGTACACATTTGTATCTGATCTAGAGTGGTGGAAACTTGAACTTATCTCAAAACTTGAATTGGGATTCAATATGATAATATCAGCATCTGATCCAACAAGTATTGCACCTTTTCTCGGATATATATTGAAGATTCTAGCACTGAAAAACAATAAGAGAAGAAAAATATGGACTCGAAAACTAAATTTCCATAATTCTTTCAGTAAAATGGGATGAACTTCTAGGAGTTCGTAGTATGTTACATGAAAATTAAAAATTTTCAAAAGGTCGGCGAAATGAACATACCACTCAGTACTTGTCAACCTAACATAATCAGTGACGGATATTTGTCCGGACACCTAGCACAAAGGGAATGAGCAATGTGAGTAGAGATGAGAAAGAAGAAAATGCTAATGATGACTATTATCCAAATTTAACACTTTGAGCAAAATCACCAGTTCCCAAAATAAGAGGAAAAGAAAAAAAAAATGAAGATAGAATGGTGATAATTTGAGTCTTCTGTAAACCGTGAACCGATTTTAAAGACATATTTTTAGCAATAAAAAGGAGTGACATACCACCATTGAATCCCAGACCATATGCATTCTCTCCTCAAGACCTAGAGGACAAGAAGAGCCACACAGCAGAATTGTAAGTAAATACCCAGAATAACCCATGAACTCAGGCCAAAAATTTATCTGATATTGAAATATGAGGAAGATTTTAGAGCGCGCTATTACCATTTACACCGTTCGGTATTTTCCGGAAATCATCAATTCCTAGTGTTTTTTGGGTAGAATTAAAGGTACAGTGATCAGTTCCCACTAGCTGCAACATGTAAAGCACCTTATTAACTATATAAGATACAGATATAGCAATTATCTGGATAAGTGTAACCTGAAAATCAGAAATCCATGCTACAGCAGGATAAATTTTACATGTACCTTAAACCAGAATATAAATATTTAAATAGAAACCTCTTGGGAAAATAGGTTTTATGGATAACATAATAAAGTAATAAACTAACGCATAAGTTGCCAGCCTTCCTAGCATTTTGATAAACTCCAATTATAATTTATAACTGTTAAATAATATGCGCTGATACGACCAATAGTTTTATAATGACGAGAGCAAAACCTGCAGAATCCCGGTTGAGAGAGCAGCCTGAAGAGCCTTTCCGTGCCCTGGTCCTCGAATAGGTGGGCTCATAACAAACCTGTAACATAGATGATCACGATTCTTGCTTAAGGTAACCAAGCATGACTTCATTTGGTGGCATGGCAAAGTGTAAATGTAAAACTAAGGGAAGAAGAATGAACTCTTACTTGGCTGCTATCTTGAAATCGGGATCCCAGAGGCAAGAATCATCAAGGACTAAACCTGAAACTACTGGTTCTCCAATGACCCTTTTTCCTACACGTAATAAAATTAATATCAAAAATATATCAAAAGATTAGCTTCAACTGTGTAGAAGTTAAATTCAAGAAAAACATTGTTTTGCGTCAGTTCATTTTTTATTTTTTGTATTTTGATGCTTTGGAAATCAACAGATACAGTGTCACAACACTTGAGAGAGGCTGTTCAAAGGTAAAGATAAGCAAAGAATATAAGGAAAAGAAAGCGAGTTTCTTGTACAGTAAATGTACACTTGGAAACAAATGTATATTCTCTTTGGGGTGCTTAGTATAGTTTTAACTTAACAAAGAATTCCTGCATGCACATCAGAAGAAATGATGTGGAAGGAGACGATGAAAACTTAATAGGTTTGGAATAGAGGGAAGCACTAGCTTAAGACATGAGGGAATTCTATAGAAATTATATGGTTTTGTAAATGTGGGCACTGGGAGGTTCCCGGATTAAAATATAAATATAGCAACTTCTTGAGGATTTTGAGCAATAATTATTTGTAAAATTTTTTTAAGTGTTACAAACCTGATTTTCGCGCTCTAGCTATTTCTTCCATTGCATCGATGCTCATGACATGAACGACGTATAGAGGAGTGTTAACGAAACCAGCTAAGCGAATAGCACGACTAGTTGCCTCTCCCTCAATCTGCGTGAATTTTCGACAAAATTAGGAGCTTAATAGGAACAAGACATCTAAGAAAACATTTTTAACATCCATACAGTAATGCCACCATACTTATAGCTGCCGCTACAGAAAAATGGAAGGGCAATCTGGATATAACGTCTTAAAATTATTACGAAGGCTAGAAATTGCAGGAGCATTGAAGATTGAATAAGATAGTAAGGTTAGACTGGTTAGACAAAAAGAAAGAGATTATGATCTAAAAGATGCCTTACGTTTTCTGCAAGAAATCTAACGATTCAAGGGTTGGTAATTAGAAGAGAAATCAATAGATTGAAAATAAACGAAATAACTAATCAAATTCAGCTGTCGAGGGCCCATGCAAGAGCTTTAAGCTTAAGCAAGTTGACGCTGGATGTCAACACAGAGGTAAATCTTAGCATGTTAAACAATGTCTGTCCAGCAGTTACAGCTTCATATCATCATTCCTAAAGTTCTATTTTTTCAAACCCATAATTCATTTAGAAACTGCAAAAACATGGAGTAAAAATAACCATGTATATAGGGTATAATATATGGTACTTCACTTGAATGAGAAAAGAAGCTCAACTATTCAAAAACTGAACAGAAATATGATTTTATATTCTATTGCGATATTCCTTCAGTAGGAGAAAAACTTTAGAAACATGCAGAATTGCCGGAATCATTGAACATAAGAAACTAACAAATCGTTGTCAGCATGTAATACATTTTCATAACAAGGAGAACTCATTACGATATTACCATTGGCGGCCTCGAAAGTGCATGACCCTCTGGACCAGTAATACCAAGTTCAATCATTCTCTTCTGCCCTTCAAATACCGCGTCTCCGTTTTCTGCATGAACCATTGCCAAGGCACCAAGAGATTTGCATTTCTTGAATCCCTCCAATAGAAGCTCGTCGCTAATCATAAGAGAACCCTTATAGGCCAGGAAGAATTTAAAAGAATTGATACCTATAAAGGGGAAAAACTGGTCATGATTTTATAAAGAGCCGACATCAAAACGAGGTAAAATTTGCTTGCAAACCCTTCAAAAATGAAGCCAGAGACGTTGATCGCGTTCAAACCTACTACTTATAAGAACACGGACCTTTGTTCTTAACCATAACTTCCATTTCTTTTGAAACAGTCTCATCCCATTTTGTGATTGCCATGTGGAAACCATAATCCGTGCAAGACTTCTTCGCCTTTTCTACATAAGCTTCATAACCAGCTGACAAACTCCCATTTACAGGAATTATAAAATCAATATGCATAGTTGTTCCACCAGCTAATGCAGCAGCCTGTCCGCTGAAAAAGTCATCAATTGTCTCAGTGCCCATGAACTCCATAGCCAAGTGTGTGTGAGGATCAATTCCTCCTGGTATTATCACAAATAAAATATAATCAAGAATAAAACCCTCCTAGTTCATGTGAATTTAAACTTAAATTCCAAACATAAGAAGCTATATCTTAGCAGTTCCATGTATGTGTTCAAGACTAAACTTAAATAGGTGAATGTGTCGTTTTTTCCATAGTTTAAACTTTTAGATGAGGAGGTTCAGCATGGTATCAAAGCATGCAAACATCTTGAGTTCAAGTGTAGCTATCATAGATCTATGGAAATAGTTCACTCGTGACAAGTCTTTGATGGAAAAATGACGCATGCCTACACGTGAGGAGGCATCTTGAAGACTAGATTTGCATAGATAAATGTGCCTGGCTCTAACAGCTTAAGTTTTTAGTAAGGTGGTTCACTGAATGTAGGATGCGCTAGATATGAGCAAGAGCACACATTCCATTCTTTCTTTATAGGGTATTAGCAAGAAAGATAAAGAGCAAGGACATTTAAGATCAGTAAAATTCCATGTCTATTAAAGAGAAAACTGTACAGAACGTGATGAGGAGATTTCGGTGAATGATAGTTCTAAAATATTGAATCTGTGCAAAAATTAGCATAACCGCCTGTACATTTGAAGCTATGCAATATCACCATGGAGTAACAGGGAAATTGTTTAGATAGATGAGTCAAGAGCTAAAATGCCAAACATTGTTACCTATACTCTAATTAGACTGCAACATTTACCAGTAAATATGTCAAAAATCTAATACTATCCCAGTATCCAAACTCTATGCCCAAACCGAGAAAGTTTATATTTCAAGCAAGAGCTAACTTACTGTACTCTCGCATTCGACTGACCAAAGCTCAACAATTCGTAGTTGTCAAGGGTAAATCCCGATAATCATGTTTATCATATGCATAAATGTAAAGACAAAATAAGACCCAATACAACATTTCTAGAAGTTTTTACTCCAAAAGGAGTCATTCATGAAGAAATGTTCCCATTTATTAAGACACCTAATTGTCATGCAACTGAGGGAAGTGCAGTACCTGGCATGACATACTTTCCCATGGCATCAATAACTGTCACATCATCACCTACCTGCAGATCCACTCGGTAAATCATATGCCACTATGATAAAACGACACATTAACATGCAAGGCACAAATAATTCTAAAATTACATCCGGTCCAATGATTGAATTCCAATATTTCATAGATTCAAATGATGGTGGAAGTTCTGAAAAAAAATTAATAAATAAAGATAGAATGAACTAAGATACAGAAAGAAAACGGATAATGTACAAATTGTAACGACAATGTAACTTCTTGTTTATAGAAAGTTGTAGGCACACCAGGAAAAAATACTGTAATTGCATTTCGCATACACTACAAGCAAGAGAATGCCAGCCATAGATCGTAAAATAAAGAAAAGAAAATTGGGAGAAGAATTACATTGCTACTGAACATTGTAAGATATAGCAACTTCCACAAATTCAATTATCACAATCATATAACGACAATCGAGAAACTGAAGTCCAACTCTTAATCCGGGGGTTGGCCCTTTGTATGTGTTACAAATGAGTTATAGATTATATAAGCTATATGGTAATTGAAAGAATATAGAAAATGTATGACTTTTCATGCATAACTGAAGTCAGTATAAACATCATTACGGGTGGATTTTTCAATAAATCTTCTTGATAAGCCTTCGGGAACCAGAGCAAAATGCAGCATGTCCTTTATTATTGTGTTCAAATGCAGCAGCACGATTTTATTATTCGAATTTTACAGAATACAAAACTATCTTAAACCAGACTCCCACCTCATGTCATGTGAATTTATTTGAACATATAGATGTGTAGATAAATAGGTTCAAATCACATTAGTAGAAGTCAACTTTTCAACATGACATCAGTTTGCAGCACTATTCATAGACAAACTCATTTCAAAGCTAGTGGCATACTTATACTTTATGTACCCCAAAATGTTTTTTTTTTCCCTCTTCAGAAATCAATTTGTATTTTCCATGTTGATTTTCTCTTTTCAACTATTTAGTTTTCACTGCTCATATAGGTTCTTACAGGAGAGAACCTATGATCCAGCTTACTTAACTACGAGTAAATCTAATCACTCGTGTCAAGATCCATTAGAGCGATGAATTCATAGGTATTCCAATACTTCTCAAGCTAATAGCAGCACCTTTTAAGATTAGCCTAACATGCTATTATGATCATAGGATAAGAGTTTTTCACAGTAACTAACTTTTTTCACAAGCAAGAAAAAGATAGCATATTCAAACATGTCTGCAAACAAAACTTTACTTAAATTTAAGTTTTAGTTACTGTTAATCTTAGCCAAACATGCTCTAAGTCATTAGCTTCCACTGGGAAAGTTTATCATTCAGTTTCTTATCAATTCTAGAAATTTGAACTACTCTACATAATGAGAAAATTTACCTTGAAATTAGACTGCACTGCAGCAATAATACCATCCTCTATATACACATCAGCGACCTGTTGACGGTGAGCATTCACAACTGTTCCGCCCTTAATCAGAATCTTTGAAGGAGAAACAGAATCAAGCCCACATTCAGATTCACGGTATCCAATCCCGGCATCACAAAACTGCCACGAAAATAAATCTCAATAGGCAAAATTTTTGAAGAGGACTTAAAAACGCTGCATAGCGAAAATTGAAATCCCTCTAATTTAAACTCTTCTCTGTTTAGTTTTTTTTTTAATCCATAGTTGTAACGCAACAATTCAAAAAATAATTATTTTGAAGGGAAAAAAACATTTTATTGTCAAGCTTCGTGGTTCGATTAAACCCAATATTTTTCCCGGCTTCTTGAACCAAAATACCAACAAAATCAACAGAGTCATGGGATTTTTAACTAAAAACTATAAGTATGGATAGATGCACAACAGTTGACTAATTTAAGTTAATCAAGAATCTAAATGGGTGTCTGTTTGATTACCTGATTGGACTCTGAAACTGATAATAAGAGTGAAAGAAGAAAAATCGAATGAAATAATCGAGTTCGACCTTTTGAATCCATCACGGGTTTGGCAATGGATATCTGTTTTTTCATTTCTGAAAGTAGCAAATTCATATCAAAATTTTAAAAATTGGATAAAAACTTCACTGATTCAGGAATATACTATTTGGCGAGTGGGTGATTACCCACGTATCAGGATTCACATTGACCTTTCCACATTCCAAGGTTATATATACTCTCACGTCATCTCAGCGATTTGTCTCTTTGTTCCTGTTTTCAACAAATAATTAATTACGGCAATCTTTGATAATTGTTTTATGGAACGGAGCCCACCCAAATCAGCATCGAATTGAACTTTGACTAATTTTATTTGGAAAAATCCTATTCATCTCCAGTGGGGATGCATCCCCAATCTATGTGGATGTAAATGATTGGTTAAATGATAGGTGAAATTAAATGACTTATTTAATTCCACCTATCATTTAATGCCACATAGACTGAGGAT